GTATTTATCTTCTTCAACCAATTCAAGATTACTTTCTTTCGTAAAGCCTTCCTGATTGCCCAATTTGTTAGCTCTTTGTGGTTCATTAGTTTCAAAGGAATTTGATTCATGTTCATTTAGAATGTTAATATCCTGTTCTGAATGTGACTCAACTTCTATTAAAGGTACTTGACTTTTTTGATCTACAAAGATATTTTTTGGGTCATCCAAAGGTTCTAAAAAAGAAAAACTATCAATTGAATAATCATCACAATATTCCTCTTGACTAACTGAACTCACTACCTCAAATTTCCACGGTTCAACTTTTACATCAGATAGAGAACGACTTTTCATCACTTTTGGTGTTTTCCTCTTACGAGGGTGTTGAATTACACCACTGCATTCCAGAAGTTCTTGCAAATCCTCCATAGAGTATGTTCTGTTCAGGTCAACTGAACACTCTTCTCTACGACCGGGTGATTTTTCATCAACCAAATCTTTTGAAGGAAATCCTTCACAAGGAAAATTATCCAGGCAATCTTCTACTTTCTCTTTTGCAGAATGTGGAGTCACTGATGCTACAATATTACCAGATATATCAATTTCATAGGTACTTATCACTTGAAGGTCTGCAGAATCACTGTCTTCTCTTAGGTTTAAGTTAGCCTCGTCTGGACTTCCATAGCCTGTTATTGTCATCTCAGGGACTTGTTCATTCACGACTTCAGGATTAAGTTTGGGAGAGGAATTGGGGTGAGGGGTCTTGGAATGCCTGGCAACACCATCACTTCTTTGTTAGAAACATTTAAATGTAAAGGTTTTTTTAATATGCCAACTAGTTAAAGGCCATAAACATATATTTTGAAACCTAAAGAATGAATGGTAAATTTTAAAATCTTGAACACTGGTAAGATTTACAATACAGTAGAAACATAATATAATCATAAGCATACCAATAAAATTATTTAAAAAGTTATATTAAAGTACAGCTAGAATGACCACTAAATGGTTTATTAACTGATTAAATGGTAATTAATGAGGGAATTTAAACATTCAGCACACAATCAACAATATTATAAAGCACCAGCAAAGAAATTAAATCTATTATATTATTAAAGTGATACGATCAAATTTTATATAAACAATTAAGGCCATTTACCAAATGAAAATATAGGCATATGGCATATCAAAATGAAGCTTAGAGTGTGTAGATTTGCCGAAAAGTATTGATATGGACAAACTCCCAAAGGGATCCGCCCCACAGGCTAATTTCCAAAGGGCTACGCCTTGCATGTTTTGGAAGTTAACGTTATTTGATTAATTTAGTGAACAACAGCTGGTCAATGCAATGTTGTTTGTTCTAAGAGGTTGTCACGGATCTTTAATAGGTCGCCAGTTCATTGAAAAGTATTAAAGTAAAGTTTTAAAGTAGCCTATTAAAGACGTCGTGAAAGAGAGCGGCGAGTTCAGGTACAACCGCACCCACCTCGGCCACCTTAGGACGTAAGGTATGAAGGTTCCACTGCTTTTAACATCCTTGTTGATGACAATTTCTCGAACTTCTTTCTTAAATGAAATAGGGAAAGTCAAAGTTGAATAAATTAATTTAACGGTGGCTTCTGTACACCTGTGAATTCACGGGTAGAACCTCTTGTTCTAATAGTAGTAGGCTACATAATTTAAGTTAAAATTCACACAAAACCAGTAGACACATACAAAAAAATCCTTTTGCCACACTGGATTAAACAGACAGACAAAAATAACACGCTACAAGTTCATTATTAAGACAAAAGGGGTCTCCTAAGTAGAACAAGGATGTTTAAGATATGTCACAATGTACATCATGAAAAAAAATAAAAATACATCTATCAACAGAGATACAAAAACGTAGATATTATGGAGAATTAAATAAATGCTTGAAAGAAATGTTTATTTATGAAGAAAATGTCAATATAAAGATAGATAAAGAAAATAGAATAATAGGGCTACTATATTTAAATGAAGATTAAACATCAATAATAAACTTAGTACCCAAGTAAAAATTATTTATTAAAAGATAGATTAATAAATTACCAAGTTGAATTCGATTCACGACATAATTAGTTTTTACAAACTTTCTGTGACCAATAGTATTAGCAGAGCCATTGTCATTGTTTCAGTTTCTGATATGGTTTGGCTATGATTGGTGTAGTCAAAATCGACAACCAATTCAACACGTTGACTGCTAACGCCGACTCTAGTCGGCATCGCTAGCACTTCAATGTGGCGCGCGCCGACAAAAGTCGGCACCAGACCAACAGAAATATATTGAGTCAGAGTGAGCTTAGCCTCAGACGGAGACGTTATAATCGTTGCCAGCCTGCCAGCTTAGAATGCGAGCTTTACTTTGGTGTAGGTCGGTACTAAAATTTCCCGTAAAATCCTGTCTGGCAATGCTTTTGTCCCGGTTTCGGGGATTTTTTCTCTTCAACCCACATTACAAAGACACTGGATACGGATCCGTGCAGTGCTGCTTCCTTTGGGTGTTTCAGTGAACTACATCCACTCTCGGGGTAATGCAGCACAGTCACCACTGCTCTTTTGTGGTTCGTCACATTACATTACATTTTACATTTACATTTACATTTGTTGTCATGAGAGCCGAAGCCCCCTGACTGCTTACCCGGTACCTATCCTTCAGGACATACCCGGGCCCCATGATGTAGGCCGAAGCTTACGCATCAACCTTTAGCACATCATGAGCGGATGACTTAAGGTCATCAGGCTCGCCGGCTGCCGAAGCAGACCCTTCGGAAAGAGGGTTGCCCCTCAATCCTAACCAGGGATTCCGGCTGCTTGTTTAAGCGTCACTCCACCTGGGTTCCACTAGGTCGGAACCTAGAGGGCCATAGTAGAGCGCCCCGACGCATTTAGTGCAAGCAACACTCGGGACCTATCTAATCCCTGACAGGCAGAACCCGCCATCAATAGCCAGGAGGAAGGGGACCATCAGCACGCTGACGGGGGGAACCCCAACCTCCCATTTACACCGCTGCCCGATCGAGGCCTGACCCATTGCTGGGAACCAGAGATATCCAGAGCGATAGATCCCCAGATACCCCTGGCGGGCTCGGACCCAGCACCCGATCTACTTCGTTTGCCCGTCAGACCCAACATCACTGCCAGGCCATCAGGGTTTCCCAAAAGGAGGCAGGTATAGAAGTGGGACCCACCCGGATGAACCTATCCACCAGAGGTGGCGACACCCTTGACTCAATTGAGGTTCCGGGAAGAACCCCCCACACTCAAGATAACCATACCGTCCGTGCTCAGAGACAGGGATAGGTTTGCATAAGTACCTACAAACCGTTGCCCTCACACTGCGGAAAGTTACGTTGCCCTTGAGTGTCCCCGTGAGCTGCGGGTACTTGCCCGTTTTCACCTCCAGGAAAGGTTACTTCCAAAGTCGAGGATTTGCCCACTGAATGCTGGTCGCACACAACAAGCAGGCCGAAGCCCAAAGAACCACAGACACAGGTAGGTTAGAGATTATGATGTACTTCCATCTCTCCTAGAGCTAAACACCCCTCCATCCTGGATAAAGGAATGTCACTGGGACCCGATGCCCAGTCGACCATGTCTGTGGCCAACTTGAAAATGCCGATACCAACACGGAGCATTTACCTCCCCTCTGGGGGCTAGGTATTTCACCTCCCAGGACGAGGCTACTTCCAAAGTCGAGGATATGCCTCACAAAATGCCAGTCGTACACGACAGGTAGGACTCAGTCACAACCACAAGCTACAGGCAGGTGAAAGATCTATGAACTTAATCAACACTAGCAGAGCTGAACACCCCCACCACCCTGAATGGAGGGAATGTCACTGGGTACTCTCACTATGGGTAAACCCAAAGAGGCTGGCTTGTCCAGTCGTCCATAGCTTGTGGTCTACCTGAAGTGCCGGTTCCAACACCGGGCAATTACCTCCCCTCTGGGAGAGCTAGGGTCCGCGTGGTCGCCCAGGCCACGAACCCACGCAAGCGTGAGCCCCCTGCGGTTTGTGGTTCGTCAGACTGAAATATTTGAATGCCAATTGCGTTCGCTGATTCGGTTGCGGCTTTGCCCGCCACTGGGGAGCGCCTGTACGTTGTTTTCAGCAGTCATCGTGTTAACATTGTTTACTGCCAAGCGGTTATTATTTCTAAACTCCAATAGCTATTATGTAATAACTTTTTCACCACACTATGATGTTTTTGGCTGTATTACATACGTTAATTGGTGGCTGAAAGTTACGTTTTGCTGGCCATGCCAGCTATCATCGTAATTTGGGGACTGAACAGGTTTTTACATCCCGGGGCCGCAAAATCAGCTGGCTGTCCGCTTACTTTCTTAAAACTTTAACGCATATTAAATACACAGGCAGTAACCATAGAATTGTTTTATTATCACCGGTTGCCTAGCAACTATTTATTATTATTTTTGCTGATGCCTCAAATTATTTCTTCACATAACCTTATAGTTGTAGTTGTGTTGACTATCAGTGTGCTTTATCATTGTGGTGAATAGTGGGAATAGGGTATAGTGTGGTGAAAAATAGCGTTCGTACCACGGACCGAAATGGTTTTGCAGCTCTCGATCGATTTAAGTTCTCGACTTCGTCTCGAACTTAAAAACTTTCTCGAGCCAGCAAAACCTCATTTTCGGCCCTAGGTACGAAATATACTATTGCTGTGACTGGTTTTTATTACCAATTTATTTGAGACTAGTTTTTATTACCAGTTTATTTTCAAGTCATGACTTTAAACTGTTTAAAAATGTAATTCAGTTTTGTTAAGTTTGTTGAGAAGACAAGTTCAAATTATGTTGGATTACTAACATTGTCTGTGATATCACTAAAAGTTGAATCGCAAAGTTTGGAGGACGACGACATACGTACTGAAGTGTATACATTTGCAGTATTAGTAAGACTAGAAGATGTTTTAATCAAATCCATACAATAGCACCAACTTGTGTAATACTAATCAACAAGTTATTTACTTACCTAGATGCTTGGGTAGTCCTGGTAACACTGGTGCCTCTAGTGCTTTTTCTCAAAGATGTGTCTTTCGTCAAGTTGCGGTTTATGTTGGGAACACTGCTACTCTCCATCACATCTGTAATCAGTCACAGGCTTACCAACATGCTCTGGATGTTGCTGAAAAGATTTTTCAAGAAATGTACCATTTCCACACAAAATTCAACACAAGTAAACAGGAAATATCAGGTTCGGAATCAGTTTAAAATGTTACCTTACCTAAAAACTAGAGAAAAGTCGATACTAAAATTTATCAATACTCCATAGCCTACCGATAACTGAAAAATCTATTGTCAATACCTCCGAGTAATAATAATACATAACAGAGGGGCAGCCATACGGGTGATTCCCTGCCCGAAACTCGCGCCTAGTACGGTGCTCCCTCTAAAGTCGACATTGGGAACTAGTCTCTTGAACTGTACCTATTGCATTATCGTAGATGTGCGGATCAGCGGCTGAAGAACCGCTGTATTTCGCTCACCTGAACTCAACCTGTGTTTATTTCACTCAAGGGGTCGTTAGTAAAGAACATTTTCAATCAATTTAGGATTAACTATTCACTTTTTTATTTTCAAATACGCTATATTTTTATCCGATAAGGTTTACCATACAATACATATATATACATGTATATAACTTCGTTCAGGCACAACCAGTAAAGATCAATAATAGGTTTAAATTTCCCCAATAACGGTAGTCTGCTAAGACCGAGCAGGGAAGATATGATGACATAAGACATTTTAGCAGTTTCAATTTTTTATTATCCATCTAGCTAGGACGGGGACTAAACCGTCTAAACTGACCGCGTTATGGCGCAGGAACACGTTACAGTACACTGTCGTGTGGGTTTATTATTGCATCCATATATAAATAGGCAAGCATGTTTCTTTAAAACTTTTTTTCTCAGCTCGTGTGCATTGCAGGGAAAATCTACGCATACTGTAAGAAATATATTTGCCTGCAGATGTGCAGAACCCCTTTATAAATTAAAATAGGCTGAAAAATAAGCACAAAAAATGAATTAAAAAAAATTAACATGGGCCTTATGGGTTACCATGCTGGTTATGAAATAACAACAAATTATAAACAGATAATCAAAACTAATGGAATAAATTCTAATCGCATGTTTTATATACAGCGTGGGATGAAAATAGAGAAGTCTGTACATTCAATATTTTTGGTCGAGTTTTCGACCACTGGACGACCTCTGTTTTATTTAATAGGCATTTTATTGCATATGTTAACTCCGCCTTCAAAAATAAGCATCTTTGATTGCAAAACTATAATTCGGCCGCTTAGAAAACAACCTGCGCGCTAATGCTAAACCAATGCTGGAGGAGGTCGCTTTCTAAGCGGACGAACTATAGTAATGTTGTCTTATAACATTAGGCATTTAAAATTATTTTCATAAAATGTTTACAAAACTTCTCATTCACAAATAAAACGGCTCATCTCAACAAAACCCAACATTTTACAGAAGAGCGTTTCAAAGTTTCCACCAATTTAAATTGTTTGTAATCAGTTAATCATTGGAAAACAATCACGTATGAGGCAATTATCTACTATAGGCCTATCTAAAACAATAACACCAATTTTTTTCAGATGTGTATCATAACATTCTTAACGTATTTCATCAGAGCACGGCGTAGCACAACAAAACTTGCAAAACACGTGGGTAGAAAAGAAGGAAATCCCATGTCAAGGAAATCCCATGTCAAAGGAGGAGTGGTCGCTTATGTAAGAAGTGGCTGGGAAAAGCATGTATCACTCATATGCACAAGTAGCGAGGAAACAGAACTAATTTGCGAAACTGTGCTCTTTGAACTGAAGCTAAACAGGAATCCACTGCTGGTCCTCGGAGTATACAGGCCACCAAGTGCAAACCTAGACCAAGCCATCGATATACTCTCTGAACAACTGGAAACAGTATTCACTACGGATAAACAAATATTAATAATGGGAGAGATCAATGTAAACAACCTAGTTGATGACAATGAAAACGACAAAATTGAAGAACTCCTAACCTCCTTCAATATCTCAAGACTGAGGCTACCTCCCACTCGAATTACAAATGACTCAGAAACATCAATAGACTGGATATGCTCAAACATTGATAATCAACAAATAGAAACCTCAGTTATAACATCAGGACTATCTGACCATACCGCACAAATCGCAAAAATCATCACTAGAAAACCGATCATCAACAACATCAAAGAAAATAAACGAATCTTCAACAGAACAATAATAGATAACTTTAAGACACAGCTACAAGAACAAGACTGGGAAACTATAATACAAACTCATGACGTAGATGAAGCCTACAACAATTTCAGCAACATCATCCAGACAACACTAAACCACGCCTACCCTCTTAAAACGTCAAGAGTTAAACAACATAAAAGGAGACCGTGTTGGAATCAAGAATCGGCTAGACTTAAAAATGAATATATAAAGGCCTTAGAAAAGGAGCAAACAACCGGACTTATGGAAGACAAAGCCAGAACAACTATTAAAAAAAGGGAGTACGACCAGCATTTGAAAATGCTTCGGAAAGAAAACAACACAGCTCACATAAACCAGGCTGAAAACAAGTCTAAAGCACTGTGGCAAACAATAAACCGAGAAAGGGAAGCGAGATCAAATACTGAAAACCAAATCCATCTTCAAGTTAACAATAAAACAATAGACGACCCAAAAGAAGTTTCAAACTGTTTTAATGATTTTTTCTCATCAATAGCCGACCGAACACTCCAAAATAACAATAACTCTAGAACCAATGCCTTAACAGACCACTTACCAGCAACACATCACACACTCCAGTTCAGACGGGTCACACAAGAAGAAGTGCAAAAGGCCATTCAATCTCTAAAGATGAAAAATTCATCCGGAACTGATGAGGTATCAGCTAAACTTCTAAAAAACTGTAAAAATGAAATAGTAATACCCCTGACAGACCTCATAAATAAATCACTCTCACAAGGAAAATTCCCAGATAAATTAAAAATAGCTAAAGTCTACCCAAAATACAAAAATGGACCAACGATAGAAAGAAACAGCTACAGGCCAATCTCCCTAATATCAACATTTTCAAAAATAATCGAAAAGATAGTACTAGCCCAACTCCTACACCATCTTCAAGAACACAACCTTCTCATTAGTCAACAGCATGGATTTATCAAAGGCAGATCGACAGCCACAGCCTTAATACAACTGACGGAGCACATACTAGACCAACCACTAGAAGAAGGCAGCACTTCAACAAGCCTCTTCCTAGATTTTAGTAAAGCTTTCGACTGCCTAAACCACGAACTTCTTCTACTCAAGCTGGAAACACTAGGCGTGAGAGGAAGAGCAGCAGAATGGTTTAAAAGCTACATTAGTAACCGGAAACAGCTTGTGGAAATAGCCTACATAAAGAACAACAAAAAGTATAAGGCCCAATCCAAAGCTGTAGACGTGCAAAGAGGAGTACCCAAAGGATCAGTACTTGGCCCAGTCCTTTTCCTCCTTCTCACGAATGACCTACCTAGTTGGATTGGGGAAGATGGACACACCACCATGTACGCAGATGACACGGTTCTCACATTTGCGGACAAAACAATGGAAAATCTGGAAGAGAAAACCAACACACAACTCCAGAGAACAAAGCAATACTGTACCTCCAACGACCTAGTTCTAAACGAAAGCAAAACCGTTCAAATGACTTTCACCACCAAACGCAACAACACAGACATTACAATACCGGGACTACAAACACAAAATACCACAAAATGCCTAGGCATCATAATTGACTCCAAGCTATCATGGAAACCCCACATAGACCAGCTCTGCAAAAAGCTAAGTTCAAGTCTCTACGTTATATGTAGGATCAAGCAAGCTTGCAGCCCAGAAGTAGCCAAAGTTGCATATTTTGCTCTATTCGAGTCCCACCTCAGATATGGCATTGCGACTTGGGGTGGAACATCAAAAGGCAACCTGGAAAGAGTACTCCTAAAGCAAAAAAGAGCAATTAGATGCCTTGCCGACCTGAACTACAGAGACAGTTGCCGAGAAGCCTTCAAGAACCTTAAAATTCTCACATCAATTTCACTCTACATAAGAGAAGTCATTATCCACACCACTAAAACAGCCCAGCCAAGACACAGAGACATACACCAGCACAACACACGACATGCCGCCAATTTTTCTCTCCCACAACACCATCTGAGTCTGTACGAGAAGAAACCATCCTACAAAGGTGCTCTGTACTTTAACAACCTACCAGAGTACCTCAAGAGAGAACAACCCAATCTGCTCAAGAAGCACCTGACAACATGGCTTTTGGACCGGCCGTTCTACTCTGAGGATGAATTCTTAAACAATAATAAGCTACCATGAAAAAAAGAAGAAAAAGAAAAAAAAATTCTAATTGTAATTGCAAATTACTGTAATAGTTTACGTACATACTGTACATTTTATGTACCTGACGCATGAATGTTCTCTAGGAATATTTCAATAAAGATTTTGTCTATTGTCTATTGTCAGAGTAAACATTTCTTTATTGATCAATATAAAGGACAAACAATATTTTGAAAGAATAAAAAAATAATCCAAAAACATGTAATTCCAACTGTAAATAAAAGTTTCAGAATATTTACATTCCATGGCAGTTGTTATAATAATGTTTATCGTGATATTTGACAAATATGTATTTAAAAAGATACTATTGAAGATGTATCCAAGCATTTTTAATAAGCTGAGTATGCAGTTGTCTAGGATATTCATTTACCTATTAACATTTCATAAACGACAACTGTAATGTAGCAATCATAGTGACGGTTTGGTGTTTTTTGTGATCTTATGGTCATGTGACAATCTAGTTTATATGTAGGCTGTGTGTTTGTGTGTTTATTACAATGTTCTGGCTCCAGAAGTATTATTTCTTTAAGTTTTTGATTTAACCTTTTATGTTATGTTTTAAAGAATAGGGTTGTATTGTTTAGTGACTTATCAACATGTTTTTCTTTTAAATAACTGTTCCTCCAGTTTTCATTCATTAAAGTACAACTATCTTACTAAATGAGTAATCCAAGTTAT